AAGCAAATAACTTCCGAAAAGTTGTTTCTGATTTTTAAAAAAATATTAAAATCCTCAAACTTAAATATTAAAAAATTGAAATTTTAAAATTTAAGATGTATCAGTAAAGAGGACATAATTAGAAAAGGGGGCGCAAGTGTGTGAAATCGGTTCCTTTTTTTTGAAATGCTGAAAATACGCGACTCGTTTTTCCACTTAGATCCTCCAATAGTAAAAGTTTTGGAAAAAAAAAGAAAGATGCAATAATGAATAATACCATTTGCAAGGACGTTTTGTTGATTGGTGACAATCGATGAGCATACTTCTGCGTTTTCGCCAATTTCAACACCCGAACAAATAATCGAATTTGTTATTTGTCATTCTGCAGTGCCTATTGATTTTTTTTATTTTTGTCTAGTTTTCTGGTATTTTTTATCAGAAAACTGTCAATTTTTTTTTTGATCACGGCAGAGATTTAGAGCTTTGATCGGGAATGATTTGACTCACCCACCGTTCACTTTACAGATTTGCCGAAAAATTTACACCGCCATTCTTTAATTTTGTTTGGCGATGATTTTATTTGGGGAAGGTTGATAATTTTCATGAGCGGGAATGGCAGTTTTTCTTTTTTTCCGTTAACAGAAATGGAAAACCAGGCATTTCGCAGAGCTGAAAAGATTCCCACAAAATACAGGAGTGTCTCTGTATTTTTTCTTTTTGGCTGGGATTTTTTTTTTTTGTGAGGAAGGATGGGGGTGAATTATAAATTTGAAACTTATTTAGGAAGTTTCACATAGAAATTGTGAAAAAAAAGAGCGGAAATTGGGAAAGCATCCAAGGAAAGAAAGCGGAAATGAGGGTGAAAGCGCATTTTGCGTAAATTTAGGGAGTTCTGGCTGAAGTCAGGAGTCACTGTGGAATTTTTATGAAATCAAGATGTCTTTTTGGTGAATTCTTGAAAGAAATTGTTGGTTGGGACTGCACGGCAAAGTAGGTGAGGACGGAGAGCGGGGGGCTGGGGAGGGGAGGGGGAGAGGGGGCGGTGGAGAGGTGGGAAGCGGGAGAAGGGGAAGAAGAAGGAAAGAGCGAGGACTGATAAAGATGTTCTGTTGAAAGCGTTAAGTGGAAAGCTGTGGGGTTTTGAGAGCTTGTGAGTTTCAAATGTATTTGAGAAGTTCCGCAAAAAAAAAATGCGGGAAAGGAAAGAGGAGAGTAAATTTAGAGAGTTCCGAATGGAGTTGGAAGCCGCTAGCTTGGGTGAAATCAATGTGATTTGTGCGGGACCGGGATATTTTTGAAGTTTTTGAAAAGAGTAACGAAGACTGTCGGTAAGAGGCAGGGGTAAGGGAGGAAGGAAGGAGACAGGAGAAGAGAAGGGGAAGAGGAAGGCGAGGGAAGAGGAGGGATTTAACTGCGTAAGGGATTTCATAGAATTACATGAGGATTCAAATGGATTTAGAATGGTTTCTGGGTGGAAAGGGTCTCGAGATGAAAAATCGGCACAGTGGTCCTGCGCACACACAGACACACACACACACACACACAGACAGACAACCTCTCGTCAATATGCGTTTTCCGCATTGCATAGGCGCAAAAAACGCATAAAAAGGGAAGTCCGAGGAGCACATTTCCTCATCCTTCCCGTTCTTCACCGCTCCCCTCTCCCCTCCAAATGTACGTTACTTAGTCAATCGGCAAAGGCTCTAAGCCATTTAGTCCATATATTCACCTTTCCTAGCCCCTCCCCTGCCTCCAACGATACCCATCATATACCACCCCCAATTCCACCTGCCACATTTGAACTGGCGCCATCGACAGTGGAGCAGGCCTACCTGCTTTCGGAAGAAAAAATTTTTTGCAGATTGTATATAACAGCGGCCGACCTGAGCCGAGCCGCATTTTTGTAATTGCCTCTGTATTATTTAAAACAAATTCGAGCGGCAATGTGAGTTTGGCGGTGTGCCAGTCGTTGTGTGGCTTCCGGTTAGCAGCTTTTCGTGATGCTGCTGTAAGGTATTGCGGGGAATTTCACCGGTCAATGATTTGTGAGGATGAGCTAGCAGGTGTTGCCAGTTGTTGTATTGTCGAGATCGCTGCGATTGGGTAGGATGTATGGAGGAGCAGCGAGGGTGCAAGAATTGTGCGAGGGAAGGGTGAGGTGCCTTTTGGACGGTGTGCAGATGTGCACGGCAGCAATAAGCAAGGCGAGTTGTTGAGAGCAAGAGGAATTGGAGGCGCAGTAGTAGCTCGTGGATGAGCAGGTCCCCTTGTTTTTCCAACGAATTTGCCTTTTTGAAATTGCTGCAGATGATGATGATGAAGCTTGCTGAGGCAGGCCCGTCTTCCTGGTGATGATTGTTTTGATAACATCGTTCGCGCTAAAGCGGATCAGCGATGCTTTATTGGGGATGTGTTCCACTTCCTAACATTTGCCGTAGTTCATTGGGACGCCGTCAAATCTCCTCTTCTCGCTCGCTCTTCTGCAGTTACACGAAGGCGCTCTTCCCCCTGCGCCGGGAACCGGCAAGTCTGGGAAGTTCGAGAGAGAGAGAGAGAGAGGAATGGGAGCGGGACTGGAATGTTTTGTTTAATTGCAGATTTTGAGGGTGCGCAATGTGCGGCACCTCACTCTGCTCGCTCGCACGGGTTCACTGAGGCGAGGAAAATGGTTCGAGACAATGCCGTGGCTCGTGTTTTTTCTGTCGCTGCTCTGCTGCTCGGCTCTAGAAATAACCGAGGCGTTACGGGTCGTTGGCACATGGAAGTCCGATGATCGGCCAGTTCAAATCCTTGCAAAATTTGGCTTCCAGCAAGTGGACCCTCTGGATGCGGAACACACCCGGGGATTCGTTTACGGCAACGTTTCCTCTCGCTCTGATAGTGGAGGTTGGCGATTTCGTCATGTTAATTTCTCATCATTCAGAAATGCAGTTTGTTTGGGAATTGACGCTCACACTAGATTGCTCGTGCATTTCGTCAAGCCCGCTACCTCCTTCCCCCGCCCTGCCCTTATGCGTTTTTGCATTTTATTCAAGCGCAAAAATGCAGATTGTCGAGGGGTTGTCTTCGTGCGCATATTCGGAAGTGAGTGAACTTTGTCTCCCAGCCTCTACTGAAAAGGGGCATATCCCCAACCCATGCATCATCCCCTAATTTCCCCTCCCCTATTTTAAAATCAGCATTCATGCGCGCCTAGATCTCAAGTACGAGCGGCTGAAAAAAAAATATGTCGAGAAAAATTCAGTTAATTTGAAAATTGCTGTTTTTGTAGTTGTGAATGCTTTGACAGACTTGTTTAGAAACAGTTCTTTTTTTTTTTGTATTTTTGAACAAAGACTTTCACTGATCCGCGTTGATGCATATTACAGCCCGAGGAGTACTGGTCATAGTGCCAAGAACACATATTGCTGCATTTTTGGATGAATCCGCTCAAAAGCAGCATTCATCATCTTGTGGCGCATTGCTGCAGGTCATCTTTTGCGGCATTTTTTGCTTATTATTCAGCAATATCCGTCAAGGCAGGGGCGGAGGGAGGTCCAAGGGGGTCCATTCAGTTTTCGTTGTCGCCTTCTGTTCTATGGATTCATCACTATTTCAGAATATGAGTTTATTGGCGTTCGATGCAAAATGCTTTCCAAAAGGTAAAGGAGATGTTATGCGATGGATTCCTTGTGCACAAGGGAAGCTTTGTGCTGAAGAAGACACACCTGAGAAAGTATCGCGTTTTTTAAACTTTTCTCACTGATCCTAATTAATGTGCATTGCGTTTCCCACATTTGCTTCGTCGCTAAATCAAATCTCGATTCTCTGGTTTCTTGTCAATACCTACTCAGTTCTACTTTACTTTTTTTTTTCAGGTATCCAGAATCTTTGAGTTAAATTCGTTTCAGTTTTGATTTTTTTTTTTTCAGATTTAGAAATATTCAAACTGGATAATTTTACAATGCAGGTAACACTTTTCAGGTAATAGCTGGATCACAGATGACACTACGAATCGAGGAGCCTTCGGTGCCACAGTACTGGTACGTTGTACTGGTTGCGTGCTACTTGGATGATCAATGTGTGTGGAAGCCGTCTGTTGATGAAGTGATCGTGCAGTATGATCTGTGGCTCACGAACGGAAGCCCGCTAATGCGCTATTTGAACCCGTTTGGCCATCAATTCAGTTTCGAAGAACAAGTCTTTGACTTAATTGATTACCTATACAGTCCACCAGTCATAATTCTCATCGAAATTTTTATGCAAAAAATGCTTCCTTGTCATTGCGGATGTCATGTCAATGTCTCTACTCTTCATGAGGCGCAGAAAAAGTGGAGAGGAACTTGGGTGGCTTTTTTTTTTTCAGATTCTAATTTCCCTGTAAAAGTAATTTTTGCGTCACATTCTTGTTCTGCAAAATCCTAGTATTTGAGGGAACTGGCGGGTCGCTTCAAATTTTGCAGGTAAACTTGCTAGGCGATGGTGGGGTTTTTTTGAAACCCGTGCAACGCGTACGTTAATGCGATGAAATTGGCTTAAATCGACGTCAAACCTTCTGGATACTGACAAAGTTCTCCCGAACACTGTGGACCAAATTATGTTAGTAGTAATTACAAGATAAATGGGCCAAAAGGTAGTGAAAAAGAGTGAAACTTCCGGCAGAGTTCTGTTTCGGGAATTAAAGTGACAAAGCATTTTGCGAGTGAGGGTAACAAGTTTTTCTCGCTTGAGAACAGCAGCAGAGAAAACTTCTCATCGATTGCTTTTTCAGAATTCGGCAGAAATGTACATTCTGTTTTTGGTGCTCTATCTGATACTTGCATTTTGTCAGTGGCGTTCGGTGACAATGTGCAGTCAAGCCACTACGTTACCTCGCCATCAGTTGCTCAATGCGGTCATTGCACTGAAGTCTTTCGGGCTGCTATTACAATGCTTAAACGTTCTCGTATTTTCTTTCGATGGCCAAGTATTA